CCTTTCTTACTTGCAAAAGACATCAATGTCATGTTTAGTAGTTAGTACTTTAAAACCCTAAATATTTAAATTTGATAGTTCATACTCTTGAAGGGGCAAGTTGGTGTTCCAGTGCTAGCAAACCACGTTTTCTCTCAGATGATACACTAACACATGTCAATGCCACCATTTTTCCTTAATGCACAACATGCAGCCTTGTAGCTGCAACACTGCCTATAGGCTCTATACCACATGCTGTCATGGCTTGAGCTTGAGAAGGCCCAAATTCCTCTAATGTCTAAACAATCTAGTGACACCTGACACTTCCTTAATGGTATTGCAGTACTCCTAATGTCTAAAAATTCTACCCAGTGACACCTGACCAACTCGCCCCTTCAATGCTTCAGAAACTTGATTCCAAATATATAGGAATCACGATTCTACACAGCAACATATCTATGTACCACATATGTCAGAAACTCGAATCAAGTGATGTCGGAAACTCGATTATGCTATTGTAATTCTCGATCTCAAACCAGCATGGATCTCTTATCCATATAGCTTCAGAGACTTGATTCCAAATATGTTAGAAACACGATTCCATAGATGATTGAAAGTTGATTCCAAATATGTTAGAAGCACGATTCCATAAATGATGGAAACTCGATACCGTATATGTCGGAAACTTGATTCCGCATATGTTGGAAACTCGATTCCACATATGTCGGAAACTCGATTCCATGGATGACGAAAACTCGATTCCGCATATTAATGAAACTTGACACTTGGAGTGTAGAACCCGGGGGGATGGGAATATCAATTTCAAGGAGGCCGGAATCTCGATTCTATATGTGGATGAAACTTAGACCTATTCCGATCGATACTCGATATTCCTGAAAATTAAGAATCTCGTTCCTAGCAATTCCTATTGTACTGTCAACGAATCCTACAACGGGAAACTTCTGGCCAGGCACGATTTCACGATTCCGATTCATGAAACGATTCGGGTTCCCAAGTGTTTCCAACAACTATGGGTTGGGGCCTGGGGCCTTAGGGGATAAGAACTAGATGGGATAAGGTTGATGGGGCTTGAGAGAGAGGAGGCTATGGATGAGAAGGAGGGTGGCGAAGGTCAAGATGTTGGTGGCCGTTTGACTGGCTGCTGGGGAGGGGAGTTTTTGGAATTGCGCCATTTGTAAGCCTAGTATTTGTCTGCGGGCTTAGGTTGAATTCTTTGAATCCCTACATTCATATGTTACTCGTTTCTTTTTTTATTACTTCTTTATGTGCGCACGTGCACATATGCATAGTCAAGTTTAGTAACATTTTCGAACATCTCCATTCACGTTTCACTCTTTTCTCTCTTTGCTTTTCGGCCCATTTCATCAACGTGAACTTTCTCCATTCATATGTTCTTTTTTTTTTCTTCTTTTGAAGTTATCTTATAAATTTTACTCTTTGATCACCACCTTTTATTTCTTTTGGTGGATTTCTTGCCAGTCTTACTAGAACTTGACCAGACATTGAACTGGAGGTTTTTTTGGTCCGATTCTACTAGCGTTTTCACCAGTTATCAAATTGGTTGGAACAATGAATACCGGTTAGAACCTAAAAACTTACTTGCGCGCACACGCACACACACACACGCTCACATATGCTAGAGAGAGAGAGAGAGAGAGAGAGAGAGAGATTAAAAATGGTTTTTCCAAGACTTGCTTATTTACCAACTAAAGCGGATTGGGATTTGGTCAGCAGTTCGACGGGTCAGGTGGTGCGGTCCATTCTGAAAGCACTGGTTCTTACAGTTCCCCCATTCAAATGCTGCTGTCTATATTTCCCCTGAGAATAATGAAACGACTTGGTTTAGAAGTATTTCGGTCACTATTATTGATACAAATTGCTGCAAACATAATGATCAGAAAGAACACAGGCACAACTGAAAGTTGACCGGCAATTGACAACTGGCAAATACAATGACATTTTATAGAAAAACAAAATTGAGAAGAAAATCGCAAGAAGGCACAAACGTGGGGATCCGAGACTTCCATCACGCACCACATCTAAGAAAAAAACACGCTTTCTCTTCACATTAAACGTTTGTTTCTTCATTCATGAAACCAACCATTGTACGATCTTTTCTTTTATAACTGCTACGCTTTCCAAAAGATTTCCCTATGGAAAAGCTGGACTCCATAATGTCTTGAGTGCAAAAAATAAGCACTCAAAGATCACCTTCCAAGGGAAACAACCCTCCTTTCCGTAATAGATAACACCCATGCCATGTCAAAAGTTTAAATAGATAAGCCCCCATACAAACTTCCCTAGAAAAACAAACTTACTATATAAAAGTACTCATAAAAAAAAGTATGGACTCTAAAGAATAAACTTCACTACAAAACAAATAAAAGAATAACTTTCCTATAATCCTAAATTTATAAATTTGCTATATTGAAACAAACTCTCGAAAAACAAAACTTGCTCTTTCCCACAATAACGTCTATGCAATAATTCCCAAAATTACCCCTAATAAAAAAATAAAAATACACCCATTAAAAACAAAAATGATTAAGTACCCAAAAAATTTGAGAAGAATAAAACTATTGAATCCATCCAGTGTTGATCTACATCATTCTCCTTTGGTTGGAGAAAACTTATCCTCGAGTTTTGAAATGCGTAAAGATGAGATTTGCATTAGTCCCGCAACCTTCTTCATCCCCAATATGCTAAACACGATCTGGGGAACTTGTGGGTTATTGCACTAATCGATTGTGGGTTATTGCACTAATCGAAACACAATGATTGTGCATTGAAACTGAGAAACCCTAGAGGAAATCATTGTATGTCGATAGAATATGTTTAGCCATATAAACTTGTTGAAATTAAATCAATTCAACCATGTAACCCTGCTGAAATTGTTTATGCTCAGCCCTAAAACATACCAAGGGAGCATCTTCAAGATGAGTGCATTGGGTGACTGAACCAACTTCACCTCTTGATTCTCCTTTGAGTCCTTCATCTTTCCTTCATCAAAAATCAATTCAACCACAAAATCTTCACCCTTATCATATATCGAATCTCTCCTAGAAGATCTTGTTCTTCATTTAAGTATACGTTGAAGATTGGAGGTGATCCAATCTACAATTTGCTGATTTTCGATATGACCTATGCCAAAGTCAACCTTGTTCTCCTTCAAATCATTAAGATCAACCTTAATGTTGAAATCCCATGATGTACTCTCCCGAACATGAGGCTCCCGACGTGCATAGAATGGATTCTCGAAAGCAACTTACGAGCTGGGTCAACTCCTGAACTTGCCTTTTCAAGTCTTCTATCTCATAGTCTTGGAGGTATCCTCGCTGGATGGGCTCCTTCCCAGTAGCCGGCCATCGACCATGTCCACCATCCATGGTACCTTATCGACAAACACCACGATCTCACAATAATTGACTAAGGCTTTGATAGCTGCAAATTCACCGGCAGCCGACAATCGGCAAGTACAACAGCGTTTTAGAGAGAGAAACCAACTAAGAAGAAATTGCAAGAAGATACAAACGTGGGGATTCGAGACTTTCACCACGCACCACAGTCAAGAAAAAACAAATAGAAAACACACATTCTCTCTCTTTCTCTCTCTCTTCACATTAAACTTTTATTTTTTTCATTCACAAACGAACAATGCATTGTATGATCCTTTCTTTTATAGCTGCCACGCCTTCCAAAAGATTTCCCTATGAAAAAGCTGGACTCCATAATGTTTAAGTGCAAAAGATAAGCACTCGAACATCACCTTCCAAAGAAAATGGCCCTCCCATTCCACGTTAAAAGTTTAAAAGGATAAGCCTCGTACAAGCGCCCCTAGAAAAAGAGACTTACTAAATAAAAGGACTCGTAATTGAAAACCAACAGACTCTAAAGAATAAACCTCACTACAAAAAACGATAAAACAATAACCTTCCTATAATCCTGAATTTTTTTTACTAAAGAGATAAATTTCCTATCTTGAAACAAACTTTCTAAAAACCAAACTTACTCTTTCCCACAATAACCTCTATGCAATAACTCCCAAAATTAACCCTAATAAAAAATAAAAATACATCCATTAAAAAAATAATGAAATGATTAAGTCCCTAAAAATTTGAGAAGAATAAAAATACTGAATTCATCGAGTCTTGATTTGCATCACACACCTATATGTGGGACTGGATGTAACATAACATTACTGATATGCCGTGGTCACCACATTTTTTATTCTTAGAAGTTTGTAGTACTTGCAACTTTTTAAGCAATTTCATTTCATGGAATTACAAGGTATGAAAGATATTCATTATGTGCCGGAGCAGACTTGTAAATTGCTGTCTTATTTACATCATGTTCACATGTAGTAATTGAATTGCTATGGGAATATTTTTATTATCACATTGTCACATATATGGACATCTAAAACTAAAGGGTGTCTTGGATAAACCATTGCTGCCTCACCTATTCTCTCTCTACTTGTGCATAGCTTTTGTTCTTTCTCTCTTGAATAATTTTTGCAGAGGTTTACAAAATCAGTCAGTTTTGCATTTTGATATAATATACAACGAGAATTTAGAACTCTACTTGTGTTTTTGAGCTCTTCTAGAAGTTGGGTTATACATTTCTCATGGTATCAAAATAGATTGTGACTACCATTGTTGTCAGTTTGTTTTTCTTTTTTCCTTCTGTTTTACCAGTGACAGTTATGCATAAATGATTATCTGCATGTCTCTGCATTCCATCACATTGTTGTATATTTGTGCATTAGATAAATTGGTTATGGTATCAAAATAGATTGTGACTACAATTGTTGTCAGTTTGTTTTTCTTTTTTCGTTCTGTTTTACCAGTGACAGTTATGCATAAATGATTGTCTGCATGTCTCTGCATTCCATCACATTGTTGTATATTTGTGCATTAGATAAATTGGTCACTCTAGCAGTTTAGTTATCATACCTTCGTGTTATCATAATTTGGTGACCTTCTTGTGAACTTGTCTTTCAGCATTGGATCTCAACCCATTGTTTTGTCCCAAAGGAAACCTTTGAGGATTACTGCTTTTAAAGGTGGTGCTCATAGTGACTCAGATGGAGATGATGACCCAAATCCCTCTAAAGCCTCCATTCGACTCTCGTATGCATCAAAAGTGAGAGAAGATGTAATAGAAGCTTCCCAGGATGTTTCAGACATACTTTGGAGATGGTTGATGATGTTACGTGCACCGACATTCAACCAGAAAAGTGATTGTATTACTCAAGAGGTGCCAGCTCGAGATGAACAACCTTCGAAAAAAAAGCCCATAAGTCTACAATATAAAGTAGGAAGGCTTTCCAAGGCCATGTTGGTTAGCTTTCTCAGTTTGGATGCCACAATAAAATTTCCAGTTGCCGTATTGTAAGTGTGAATCTTCTTCAGCATCTCTTGTGCCAACCTCCCTGCTTTCCTTCTCTGTGTGAGTGTATGTTGGGGATGCTTCTGTTTTTGATGTTCTTCTTCCTTGTGGTCTTTTGCCAAAATCTATTTGTTACATTGTCCCTGCATGTCCAAGGAGCAGGAAATGATTAGTGCTGCCTATGAGCCTCTTTTTTCATTGGATAAAAATATATGATGCAATTGAGAATTGAACAAGCTTTCTGATGGGTGAGGGTCGCCTTTTCTCAATTTTAGCATCTTTGAAATTTTGTTCCTCTGCTCCTTTGAACATGTTGTCTAGTGTGGGGAGAAGTTGTATTGGGGACCACATTATGCAGAAATAGTGCACGTTTCAAGGAAATCACAGAGCTCTGTAATGCTCATGAAACTTACCGATAGTCTGGAAGTTTTGATAAAATTATAAACTATCGCCACTTGTGTTTATCAAACGCACCGTATTTTATAAAAGTATGGATGCATCACTAGTTTTGAAAGAAAAAGAGGTACTGTCCTGCTGATTTGAAAACATAGGAAACTTTCGTTTCTGATACCTTAGTTATCTGTTCGAATAAAGTGGAAGTTGTTAACATGCGTTGTTGAAGAAGAATCTCAGATGTTTTGGTATTAGATAAACCAGAGTTTTTTTTGTTTTTTTTGAATCTAGAGAAACCAGAGATACTTATGAAAATTTCTATAAGTCTAAATGTGATGAATTACATTTAAAGCATAAAGTTTACCTGGCTGATGTTTTATCTACTTTTATCCTTTCTCCTTGTTTAATGTACAAACTTTCCGCCTTGTGGCTGGAGTTCAATACAACTTTTTTCTTTTGCTCTCGTTCTCTCTCTGTCTGGGTCAATGGGCTATGGCATTCTTCAGAGTAAAATGTCTAGGTTCTTGATGATTGAGTGCATTTGATTTATTCTTTCTTCTTGGGACTGTTTTTAGCCAGAACTGGTTAAGTGGAAAACTTGTTGAATATTATAATCCTTACAGAGCATAGACATTCCTTTTATGGAATTTTTTTTCTGCTTATTTGTATGTCATGCCTAGTTTATATTGAACATTGTGTTTCTTAAGCATTGATTGCAGAGGCTTGCTGATCAAGATCTCATGTAAAACTCTTCCTTGACTTATCAGTTAAGCTGTTGAAAAGGTCGTTATTCAAGAATTTTAATGTCCTATTGGTTAATGTCTATGATACCATATAGTCATCCAAAAAAAAGAAAAAAGATGTGTTTTTCCATATAGAATCATTCATATATTTAGGTGTGTGAATATTTATGCTATTTTGGGGGTTGCTCCATTTGACAACTAAAGTTGCAGAGACATGAAGAAGAAAAATTTGTTGATTGGTCTTTGCAGGCTTACCCCATATTCTTATGCTTAGTTGTTTATGATGTATCATTCTGATTGATTCCTCACATGATTGGAGCTCTGAAAAGAATCTCCCTAATGTTAGTTCCAAAACTGTGATGAATAGCCTTGAGTGCCCTTATCTTGGAACACGATGGAAAATTGATCAAGAAAGCAAAAGGGTTTCTTCAATTAGTGGGGTGGTTCCATAAAACGGAATGGTTAGTCTTCGGGAAGGCTTGAGGTTGTTTCTTCCTTCTAATGAAACTACTCTTCTTAAGAAGTTTTGTTGTTAAGATTTGTGTCCAAAGGGGTTCAGAGAGGGAACGGTGGAGATGGCTGTGGAAAGTAGGGAATTGATTACTTGTGGTGGAGTGGTGGAATGAGGGCTTGAGAATGGTTTTCTTTTATTTATTTTTTGTTTTCAGTATCGCTCATGCGCCCTTGTGATGGAAAGTGATGGATTTTAGAACACACATGGCCCTTGGTGTGTTGGCTTAGGTCTGTGTCTTATGTAAAGGATAAGCATTTGAAATTTTAGATTCTAGAGTGGACATGGTTGGAGTCTTTTAGAAGACTAAGGTGGGCCTGAAGGGGTCAGAAAATTGATTTGAGCAGTGTTTGATGTTTATGAAGCTTTAGGAAGTTGGTTGCATGCCAAAAGGAGTGAAGTTCATTTTTTCGGGGCAAGGTAGAAGGGAACTCATGCTAGCACTCTCTCCCTCACCAGCCAGTGAAGGGAAAGCTCCTATTGCATTTGACCATACGGGGCACTCTATGTTGTACATGACTAAATCACAACTGCCAAATCTTTCAGGATTTTGTGTCTCATGCTCACAAAACGACTAGTCTTGTGGGCTTTCTCAAGGAAAGGGTTCAGTGCCTTTTCAACGAGAGACCTGGATAAAAACTAGGAGAACATTATATGGTGCCACACCATTCAACCCCCTGAATCCTCACATTGGAGTCCTCCCAATTTGAGGACTCCAATTCAGGGCCAGCCAGTTGTTGGGTTGGGTTGGGGTGGGGTGGGGTGGGGTGGGGTGGGGTGGGGTGGGGGGGGGGGGGAAAGGGTTTGTTTCACAATCATCAAAGACAGACTGCTATCATTGTCAGGGCTGGCTGGATTTTGTGACACAACTTGGGCCGAAGCTCTGGCTCTACTGGTCAGGTCTTGAATGCTATGGCCAGAGTAGGGGCAACATCTTGCAAAAGGGAGGAGGCTCATCCAGCATGGCATGGCAAGCAATCGGCCAGTTGCCCACGAAAGCTTAATCAAGTGTTCAACAAAAATTTTCATCTATGCGCAACCTCAGTATATTGTTTAGATCATATGGCGTGAAGCAAACACCCAGACATATACTCTGGTGAGAGGAGGTATCAACCTACTCTCCAGCGCTTTGACTTGCAAACTCATTTAAACTCTACCTCATAATTTTGTAGATACTACAATCGTTTACACGAAGTCCCGTACAAACTATCAAACAAACAGATTGGTTACAACCACCTCAATTTTGGAGGCAGTATTTGATATATTTGTATACTTTAGAACTGTTACCTTTCAATTGAAAAAAAAGAAAAAAAGAAAGAAATTGTGGAGAGGGGGGCAACAAAAGTTATATGCACAACAATATTGTCTCAAGTGGGTTGAGAAGCTGGTGGATTTTTTACATGCAGTTGGCAAGGACCCTTAGAAACAATATATATAGACAAAAGTGGGATTTGATGGGCTTCTTGGGCTATTTAAGCAGTATTTACTAGCTTTTGGAAAGCATAGCATTAGAAGAATATCATGAGGTGCTATAGGCATGTGGCTGACTTAAGAAGTGCTATGATTAAAAGCTTTTATCGTCAATTAGTTTTTCCGGGTGCTCATGCTTTTCATTTTTGGGGTTCTTTGAGGACTGTTGGTTGTAGGCTTGGGGGTTTGCTCCTAATGCATGCATAGGGTGGTAGGTTCTTAACATGGCCTCTCTTCTGTAAAATCCATATATTTGGGGTTCGGCCCTAGTGGCCCACTTTTTTTTGATTATTTCTTGCCCTAACAACCAAGTATAATATGTGGGTTTGCAGTTGCTGCTTTCTTTGCATTAAGATGGTTTAATCCAGTAATGTGTGTGCATGTGTCAGTGTGTACATATTTTGAATATGTAGTCTTTGGATTGCATCTGTAGGACACTTTTGGCTGAAGGCATAGAGGCAACAGAACTAAAAAACTCTCTCTCTCGCTCTCCACATGCTCACACCAGACTCATGGCTTCTTGATCTGTGTTGCTTGACGCTGCAGTCCTCTACCAACTTTTCTTTTTGTTGTATTTTCCTCTGTAATATGTATGCATTTACGTGCCTTTTTGTTTTGTTGTCTTTGTACATTTGTGTGCGTGTGCGTGTGTGTGAAAGAGAGAGAGGGAGAGTCTTGATGTTCTTTCTTCATTGGCAGCGTACCACTGTACCTGCTGATCCACACAATGTATGGTGCCGAAGTGACGAAGGAGCTGATACCTCTGTGGCTTCTTGGTCCCCTTATTGTGGCCCTCTACATAAAGATGATCAGGGGAATCTTCTCTCTCTATGTTTTTACCATCAAGCAGGTGATATCCCTGGCGAAAAGGCTACCATCTTTCTGCGAACTCGCATACATCTACGTAACACAAGGCAAAGTGAAAGCATATCTAGGAGCTTCGTTTGTTCAGCCTTTGGTTTACCTGAAGACCATGGATTACAAGGAAACCATGAAGAGAAAATGGAAACAGTTTCTGGAATGGGCACTGGAAATATATCTGGATTTTGTGGAATCCATATGGCCTTTCTATTGCAGAACTATAAGGTTCCTAAAAAGAGCTAATTTAATTTAGACCCAAACGTCAGAAAGAGGTAAAAGGGGATTTTTTGAATGGAAGTCAGGGAAACCAGTCTTTCTGTAAGGTTTTGTCGTGGGCAGGATCGTCGGCAAAGTTTGTAGTAGTGCATTAGTTTTTGTGACAGCTTTGTCGGCATCTCAGAGGTGACAATCTCTCTCTAGCATAAGAATTGTTCTTTGTTGGAGGAATGGGAATATGGTGGCAAGCCATTGGGACTAAATGAAAATTTATTGGGGATGTACGTATTACAAGAGATCGATGTTTAGGCATTTTGGATGCTTGTAAGGAGTCAAAAATGCTATTTTCGGCTCTTTTTAACTTTTTCCAGTACTTTCCCTTGATTACTTGCATAAAGGCCTGTAACTGAACTATTTTTGAGATTATTTGTATGCATTTATTAATTCATGCGCAGCCCATTTGTGGCAGAGAAAATGAGATTGTTTACTGAAATATGTTTCAACGCCCCCATGAAATTCCTTGTGACATGAGAGTTGAATCATTGAGCGCGAGAGAGAGAGAGAGAGAGAGAGAGAGAGAGAGAGAGAGAGAGAGAGAGTACTACTCGTCGTCGTTAGTTAGTTAGTAGTACGTAGTTAGTTCGTCGTCGTCTTACTAACTAAAGTTAAAGTTAAAGTAAAAGTAAAAGTAAAA